GGGGGTTGCGCTGCCACGGTTGTGTCACCCCCCCGTGGGGTTTTGCTGCGGGGTTGGCAGTGCCCCGCACCACAGAGCCTTGCACACTCACCACCCTCTACGTTTAACACAAAGGACCCCGTGACACAGCCCCAAAAAGCCACCCACGGGACAACGCTGTCAGTCCCCAACCCAAACACCTCTGGGCTGCGAGTGCTTCGATCCAGGGGTGGGAGAAGGTGGAGCTGGGGAGGAGCTTCCCCGTCCCACCGCTATATTAAATCCCCCCTGGCCTCCTGCTCCCTTTGCCGCTGTCACATCACCAGGTCGCAGAAATGGTGAGGGGCAATGGATGGCAATTAAATCGAATGTCCAGGGCTCAATGGTGCGGGATGTCTCGGGAGCTTTACTGGGTTTAATCTGATTTAATTTGGACTTTTTAGCTGGGAGCTGTGTGGAATCGCTGCTCCTCACACATTGACCTTTGGATTGGAGCTCTCAGGGGCTGCAGTGCCTCCCGGAGCTGCTAACATCTCTCTTTTCTGATTTCTCTCTTTCAGACGACTTACACAGACAAGGGAGAAAAGGTAAGAGCTGTTTTGTGTCCGCGGTCCTGCCCCACTGCCCGGTGTGAAACATCAGCCGTGTTAATGCAAATAACGGGCGCTGCTTACTCCTGGATTACCCGGTGAAATTGGAAGTAAAAATTCTCCAGCCAGACCACACAGGATGTGGTTCCCCATCCTAAATCAACGTAAATAATGGACATTTTTTAATTCCTGGTTTGGGAGGAGAGCAACAAGTGGGAGATGATGGCTCCGTCCCTCCCAACCCTGATGCCAAAGCAGAATCCTCATTTGCTGTAACATTTATTTCCAAATACTGCCCCTATTTGATACCATTTTCCCCTAAAAAGTGCTTTCTAAACATCTGGTGCCCATCGTGGCTGGATGTCTGATGAGACAGCAATGGGGAACAGAGCAAAGGGGGATTTGTCCAGGGATCGGTGGTTGTGTAAGAGCAGTCAGGGGAGAATTAATCTTTAACACAGCGGGGCCCGGGTGAGCCAGGGCTTTGCACCCTCTGTCCTGCAGAGCAGGATCCAGAGCCCTTTGGACAAATCGCCATTCCCAGGCAGCAGCCGGGTGTCACCCTGATAATTTAGATGCATTTGCAGGGTCGTGGCCACCTCTGCTCCCTGCTCCGCTGAGGAGCAGCACAGCTGGAATGAATGGCTGCAGTGGTTCTCAGCCCTCTTTTCCCCTTCCCTTTAGCCCCTGCGAGGCCGCTTCATCCACTTCCACTCCATCACCTTCTGGGTGGGCAATGCCAAGCAGGTGAGAGGCTGCAGCCAGGGGCAGTGGTGGGTGTTGGGATGGGGCGGCTGCTCTGGTTATTGGCTGCCAGGGGGGTGGTTTGACCCCAAAGCCTGGCCCTGGCTCGGCGCCCGCCGGTGTGGCCTCAGCCTCGGCCTTGGGGGCCCTTGCGCAAGGTGAGGGGCGGCTGCAGGGGGTGTGTGCAGGAGGGGCCCGAAAATGGCAACGGGCACACACAGCATGGCTTGAGCCGTGATGGTGGAGCCATGCAAGGATCAGGGCCACCATGGCCTCCTCCGGGGCCTGCCCACAGGCTGCGTCCTACTACTGCAACAAGCTGGGGTTCGAGGAGCTGGCGTATCGGGGGCTGGAGACCGGCAGCAGGGAGGTGGTGTCCCATGTCATCAAGCAGGACAAGGTGAGGAGGCCGGAGCACTGCTGGGGTGGTTTTTGGGGGTAGATGAGCCAGTGTGGGGCCCATGGGTGCTGCCAAAACCCATTTGCACTGTTAAACCCCACACCTGCAGTGGCTCTGCCCCGGCCTAGGGGCACTGCCACGTCTCCATCCCTGTCCTGTCCACCTCTTCCTCCCCAGATCGTGTTTGTCCTCTCATCCGCTCTCAACCCAGGCAATGAGGGTAGGTACCGTGGCAGTCCAGGGGGGAGATGAGTGGGAAGGGGCCGTGGTGGAGCAAAGTGGCTCTGCTCACACCCACGGCCGCTCTCGCTGCGGGCAGAGATGGGAGAGCACCTGGTGAAGCACGGCGATGGGGTGAAGGACATCGCCTTCGAGGTGGAGGACTGCGACTTCATCGTGCAGGTAAGGCAGCCCCTCTGCTCCCCCCTGCACGGCACGCTGAAATGGTGGGGAAGGGCCCGGGGGTGTCTCCTCCCAGCCTGGGGGAGCTGTGGCAGGAGGGGTCTGTCTCCTTCTGCCCAGAAAGCCAGGGAGCGCGGGGCCGTGGTGGTGAAGGAGCCCTGGGTGGAGGAGGACAAATTCGGGAAGGTGAAGTTTGCGGTGATCCAGACGGTAAGCACCGGGGCAGCTGCAGAGGCTGAGCCTCTACACCGGAGTGGGGTCCATCGGAGGAGGCTGGACCCCCAAAAAATGGGGCCACCATGCAACTGCTTTCCCCCCTCTTGCAGTACGGCGACACCACCCACACCTTGGTGGAAAAGCTCAACTACAAGGGCCTGTTCCTGCCCGGGTACCACCAGCCCCTCTTCAAGGACCCTCTGCTGCCCAAGCTGTGAGTGCTTCCCACAGGGTCCTGCCCTTTGCAGGACCCAGACAGGTCCCCATCACAAGCCTCAGAGCCCCCCATGCCATGGGGTGTCCCCAAACCCTGCTGGGACCTGCCCTTGGCTCTCCCCCCACAGACCGAGCGCCAAACTCAGCTTTGTTGACCACGTGGTGGGGAACCAGCCCGACCTCCAGATGGTCCCAGTGGCGGACTGGTAAGACTGGGAGGGCAGGAGGTGGGATGGGGCCGCAGCACCGCTCTGTGGGTCTCAATGCTTCTGATGGTGGCAGCTGAGGATAATTAAGGCAGAGCAGAGCTTCGTTAGTGCTGGGATGGAGCGAGGGATGTGATCGTGTCCTTGTGGCCCGGGCAGGTACCAGAAGAACCTGCTCTTCCACCGCTTCTGGTCGGTGGACGACAAGCAGCTGCACACCGAGTTCAGCGCCCTGCGCTCCATCGTGGTCACCAACTACGAGGAGACCATCAAGATGCCCATCAACGAGCCCGCGTTCGGCAAGAAGAAATCCCAGATTCAGGTGAGCAGACACCGGTGGCTGATCCATGAGGCTGCCCCCAACTCCCGTGGGGCTTTGGGGAACAGAAAGGGACGAGGGGCCAGGGATTCGCAGCTGTGCTAAGGCTCTGCTCGGGTGTGCCAAGGGCTGTCCACACTGGGGGAGCCGCTGGGACAGACCTGCTTTACCTCCCATCTCTCTTTTTTCTCATTTTGTGGTGTCCCCAAGCTTTTGCTTTCACGTTTTTAAGCCCATGCCCAGCCTTTTGCACGCTGTGGCTGCACTGTCACTAACGTGGTGACATTTTTGTTTCCATAGGAATATATCGATTACTATGGCGGGGCCGGAGTCCAGCACATCGCCCTGAACACCTCTGACATCATCTCAGCAGTGAGTGCAGCCCCAGGCACGGTCCTCATTGTGGGCGGTGGTGGACGATGACCCCGTTGGGGTAGGAGGACACGGAAGCTGAGCGGGCTTTGTGCCATGGTTGTTTTACAACCAGGATTAACCCCCCAGTGAGGCGCTGGAACAGGACCTGCCTGCACATCCGAGCTGCTGGCACATCCCCGTCCCTCCAGCCTAAAGCAATGGGGTCTGCAGGGACCCCCACGGCACGCGCCGTCCTCAGGGGTGGCTGGAGGGGAGCTGAGCCCCCAGAGCACATCACCCACCTCGGCCTGGGGCACATTGGGCCCAGCTGCTGCTGAGCACTTGGGTTTGGACCCCTCTCCAGACCACGGGGCCTCCAGAGGTGTCATGGGCTCAGGTGTGATGAAGCATTCTTGCACAGTGGCCAATGCTCTGCATTGCCTGGAGGGAGCATCTTGGGCCCTCCTGCTCCTGGTGCCCAAAGCCAGAAGGTGGGACAGATCCCCATGTACGAGGTTGCCCAATGTCATGGACAGTACCACTGCTGACACCGGCCATCCCGGCCAACCCCTTGGCTCCACAAACAGCCCCAAGCCCGACCCCTGCCTTGCAGATCACCAACCTGAAGCCACGGGGCAGCATCTCGGGCCCTCCTGCTCCTGGTGCCCAAAGCCAGAGGGTGGGACAGGTCCCCATGCACGAGGTTGCCCAATGTCATGGACAAGTACCACTGCTGACACCGGCCATCCCGGCCAACCCCTTGGCTCCACAAACAGCCCCAAGCCCGACCCCTGCCTTGCAGATCACCAACCTGAAGCAACGGGGCATGCAGTTCATGGACGTGCCGTCCAGCTACTACCAGGTGCTGCGGGAGAGGCTGAAAACTGCCAAGATCAAAGTGAAGGAGAACATCGACAAGCTGGCGGTGAGACGCAAAAGGTTTCCCTGGGGCCAGACCAGCGCCCCAAAGGGTTTTGCAGGGATGAGGGTGATGCTGAGGAACCCCCTTGCTCCTTTGTAGCTCCTTGAGCTGTCACCCTGCTTCTTTTCTCCAGGAACTGAAAATCCTGGTGGATTTTGATGAGAAAGGCTACTTGCTGCAGATCTTCACCAAACCAGTTCAGGACAGACCCACGGTCTTTCTGGAGGTCATCCAGCGGCACAACCACCAGGTTGGTTGGAGGATTTCACGACGATCTTGGCTTCAAGACCTTGGGGTCATCAAATCACCCACCTAGGTCTTGGTGCCGCTCTTTCCCAGCTGCTTCTGAGCTGAGGATCCCAATGCCTGTCCCCGTGGTCCATAACGTGCCCGTCCTCACGGTCCATAACACATCCATCCCCATGGTCCGTAATGTGTCCATCCCTGTGGTCCATAATGTGTCCATCCTCATGGTCCATAACACATCTGTCCCTGTGGTCCAGAACGTGTCCACCCCCATGGTCCGTAATGTGTCTGTCCTCACGGTCCATAACACATCCGTCCCCGTGGTCCATAACCTGCCCATCCCCATGATCCATAACACATCTGTCTCTGCAGGGCTTCGGCGCCGGGAACTTCAAGTCTCTGTTTGAAGCGATCGAAATGGACCAAGACGCGAGAGGAAACCTGACCATCCTGGAGCCCAACGGGGAGACCAAGCGCATCTAAAGGATGGCGGGAAACGCCGCCCTCGCCCCTAATGAGCTGATGCGCAAACGAACCGGGAAACGGCCGATGTTTTGGTAAATACCCCAGACCTAAGCGTCATAAACCCAGGGAAGCTGCTGCGAAGTTGGAGATGTGAAAGGACTCAACACCTACCCCGGCCCAGCTGCCCTCCGGTGACTCCTTGGGAGTGTGGGAAATAGCAAACACGCTCTTAAAAAGTGGTTTAATCTGACCCAAAGCCCCAAATTCTTCACAAAGGGCAGACTTAAGGCACGTGCCAAAGACACGCAGCTACTGAGGAAGATGGAAGAAACAACTGCAAGTGCTTAAATTCAGTCTGTCCAACGTTTTCTGTTAAATTTAGCTACGTGGGAAGCTGAGAGGGGAAAGCGCGGAGGCGTTTGCCTCTCTCTGCGGCTCATTTTGGAAGATTTTATTTTAATTGCTTTTAGACTCAATCTTGAATTTGAATTTGCTGAGATTAAACACATGGTTTTAGGGTAGCTACAACATTCTGGAATTAGACTTAATTGAATTTAGGTATTTCAGCCTTCCCAGGGCAACGCCGTCCTGCTCTAATACCTGTAAATTCCTGAGTTAATGAGGGGTTGGGGTTTCTCCCGTGTTTCAAGAGGCAATTGCTGGCATTGGCAGCCGTTCCTTGGCTCGGATCCTGGCGCTGCATGTGAAGTCCCCTCTGGGCAGTGCTGTCCCTATCCCTGGCAAGGGGATGCTCCCCACCCAACACAATAAAACCCTTTTCTGTCACCACACAGGGGCTGGAGCCCCTCCACCCCGTGGTCACTGTGGGTCCAATGTCACCGAGGGGTCCTCAGTGCCCGATGGCTGAGGGACACCTCAGGGTCCCTCCCTGTTCCCCACCACTGCTTCTGAGTTTCCCAGCATCGAAGCTGCTTGAATCCTGACCACCCAAAGGCCTGGCCAAGCCCTCGGCTCCTTGGACACGAGTCCCTCTACCGCCCCTGTCCTGTCCCAGCACCCTCCAGGAGGGTGGCACCGCTTTTTCCTAAGGCTCAGAGGAGCCACTTCGAGCACGGCCCCCACAGCAGCGCCCAGTGAGGGTGGGTGGGGGCTGCTCCAGGCCCTGCCATCATCCCCATCCAACCCCACCGGCTCCCCTGTGAACTGCAGGGAACAGAGTTCACTGCAGACGGGAATAAACTCATGTAAAGAAATAAACCAGAAACCTCTGGCCCCAACAGCCTCACCTGAACCAGCAATGCCTCCCTTCATGGGTTAACAGCTTTCACCTCCATCAAGTTATTAAAAAACCCCAAAAGACCAAAGAGATGTGAGCTCAGAAAACCCCAGGCCAGGGGCTGCAGGAGCAGGGACCCCACACCCGTCCCCACAGTGCCCCGAGGCCGGAGGGGCTGGGGACACCTGGGACCGTGGTGGGGGTCCCCTGTCTGGCATCCCAGGGCCTGGCTGTGCTTCAGCTCTTCAGGGCTGTGAGGATTTCTAACACTAAGAGCATTTTCTTGACGTTTATAAACTTGAACCACTCACATATTTCCTCCGCGCAGTACCATGTTGCTTAACATCCGTTCCTGCTCGCCAGAATGAACATTTACAGTAAACTCTGCTGAAAACCAGGGCTCTGGGTCACTCCTTTTCTGGGTCTGGGTCTGAGAGCAAAACCCTCCCTGGCCATACATCAAGCACAACAGAATTCTTCTGTAAGAAAAGTCAGTATATTTATGGTTTGCTTTATAAAAGTTACTATAATACAATGGTACATAGTATTCAATTCACAAAAATATGAACAAATATATACAGCATGACACATCCACAACAAAAACACTTTCTTCAAAACAAGGTACGTACTGGTGACAGATTCTATATGCACAAAACATCCCTAAATTCATAAATTTGCTTAACGAAAGAAAAAGCAGAAATCCTAAATCTTCAAAGCAGAGTTGGTTTTTCAAGGAACTTAAGAAAAAAAATAAGATTTATTTTCTTTTTTCCTCATTTATTGCAAACCATTTTGCCTGCCCCCTTTTCAAGGAGGCCCTTTACTTCCACACTGAATTAAAGCGGTGTTTATAGAACCAGAAAGCTGCAGGGATCGGGAATCGGGAGCGGGGTGTTCTCCTGTTTGCTTTTCAACCTGCCCGTTGCGACGTGTTCCTGTTCCCTTGGACAAATACTACAGTGGCAATTAAGGAGGAAACTCCAAATAAAATAAAAAACAACAACCCAGAACAAATATTAAATTGAAAAAACTCCAGTTGCAAACTCACTTAAATACATTTGAGGTTGTCTATTAGACTGTACACATTTCCTCGCTTGAAATAAATAGATTTTGCACATTAGGTTTCAGACTGGGGCGGGGGGAAAGAAGAAGCCTTGACTTGGCAATTTTTTGTCTTCAGTTTCTTAATGCTTCTAATTCCACCTATTTATTTGACAAAAAAAACCCCCACATTTATACAGAATTTACATTGTACAAAGCTTGACACAAGCTGTAAATGCCACCAGCTCCTTCGCTGTACTCAGTCCCTCTGCCTCCCCATCGCCTCGGCACGGTTCAGAGCTGGAATCTGTTTAAAAAGACCTCCAAATTACAATAGTCACTTTTAATAAATTATTTACATGCTCTTGAAGTACAAAGAAATCAGCAAAAAAATTTCAACATGTTTCTACAAGAAACAGTGTCCGAAGAGAAGATTCTTGAGTTTGCCTATGTACAGAAGATGCGGGGGGGTTTTATACTTCAAAATCCTTTTTTTTTTTTTTTCCTTGACGTTTTTATTTAATACAGAAATGCACTGAAATGATCCCTGAAAAAGGTCACAAAAACCAGAACTGCAACTACTGTGTACTTGGTTGGAGTTTAAAAAAGCTGTCTGTGTGTTTTTCCTTAGAAATAAGCTGCTCTATACAATATAAATACCTGCAGGACGAGCCCTTCCCTCCCAGCCGCTGACTGCGACCGACTGGGACGCGCACAGGGGTGACCCACGCGAGCTGGGGGTTTGCATACATGGAAACCAATTCCTAAAACGCCAACGGCGGAGGCGTCCGCACCCAAACTCACCCAGCTTTGCCTTGGGAAAATAAAGATTTGGGTTCTATTTCCAAAGCTTTTGCATTGTTTTCCTGGGCTGTTTCACCGAGCGAGATACAATTTTGCAGGGAGCGCAGTCAACGCCTCTCTCACCCTCTTTTTTTGCCTTGGGTTTCAACTGAAGTGACAGCAAATTGGGCTTTTCGGCCCACAAAACGGCTTCAGTAAATCTCTGTAAAGCAGCGCGCTGGGGAGGTTTTATTTCAGACCCTGCTGCTGTTTTTGTGGGGTGCTGGGGGTCCGATGGGGCTGGCACACGAATTGTGCACCCTTGCCCCTTCCTAAGCAGGAGCCAAAGCACCCAGGAGGGACTGGAAAGGCGTCTCCCCAAGACTAAGGCAAACCACAGGGGCTAATCCCGTCCAGAGCACAGCCACGCTGGGAAACACAAACCACCAGCAGCGGCCCAGGGCTGGGCCGTCTGGGGGGTCTGCACCCCACAAAACCACCGCTGATGCTCCGGTCTGATGGACCGTGGAGGAAGAAGGCCCAGGGCATCAGCAGCACTGCTGTACATGGGGGCTTCGTTGGAGACACAGGAAACTTCTGTGCCTTTCCAAAGCTTGGAAAGGAAAAGGCCGAGCTGTAGAGATGCCAACTGGAGCCTCAACGCAACAAAATGAGCCTTATTTTAGAAGAAATAGCGATAACTTGAGCAGCTGGTTTAGCTCCCCAACGCTCCTGCCACGGCTGCAGTGACAACCAACGCTCAGGGACAGAAACCAGTCGTGCTTCTCCGAATCGTAGGTCCTGGGTCACCGTTACCCCATTGCTGGAGAGATTTACAGAGACGGGGGAAACAACAAAACCAAACCAAAGCGAAGCAGCGACCACAGACTGTCTAATCCCAGGGACAATCTCCTCACCCTCTGGCAGACACAGGTGGAATTCGGGCAGCTCGTACGGTCACTGCGCTCCTGTTCCTTCAGCCCTTTCGTCTAAAGGAGAAATTCAGCTGCAGCCCAACCTACGTTACAAGCTCCCCTCCGCAGCGTGGGCCTGGCAACTCCGAGCGATGGCGGAAAAGCCCCTCCACAAAGCTCTTTCTCCAGGCTGTAACCTCTGCTCACGGTGCTGCGGTCGCACAGCGATTATCGCTGGTTTTAAAAGGACACGAACACAGCTGTGCGATTCGTTCTGCGGGGAGGTGTTCAGCTACGCAGACAATCTTCCCATTTCATAATTACATTGCGACTTCCCCTCATCAGCCAATTTAGAAGCTCTTAGTACAACTGATCTCCACTTTTGAAGCAGGAGAAATTCAATGCAAGCGAAAAAGCCGAGCCTGTCTATACCTGAACGGCCGGGTAACGTTTCCAGACCACATCCAAAGAAGTGTTTCTTTGGTGTTCTGCCTCATTTCTACATCTCGAAGGACTGCAACCTTCACCTCAGCACGTCTACAAGGACAAAATATATCACTGAATCAATTCCAAGTCTGCCGTACAACAAATTAAAGCACCATTCCTTTTCCTGCTGTAGGTGGGGAGGGACATTTTAACCACGTTCACTTCTCTTGGAGGCTCAGGACCGCCCCAGGACAAGTTACTGAGTAACAGAGGGAGGGGAACGCAGGCACAGCTCGCTCCTATCACAGGAACCATCTCCCACCCTCAAGGACACAGCAAATGCTCCACGTAAAACGCCGGGAGGGCAGGGAAAAGCAGACAAAAGTGAGGAAAACTGAATAGGAGACACACATCAGCCCGTTTCCCATCTACAGGAAGAAAATCCCATTAAAACCACGGGCCATAGTGCATCCTTACAAGAGGGGTAAGATTTTTACAGCATAAAGGCGGGCTGAATTGTCCTCCTAATTTCAGCCTCAGCCTTGTTTTGCTTGCGAGACAAACCAATCTCCCAGGAACGGGCATCCCCAAAGGCCCCACAACTGACTCGACCTCCTTCTGTAGCGGATTGGTACCCACGTACTGCCCACATATGGGCGCAGGGTCTGGATCCCCCAGTGCACCAGCGTGGAAACCAGAGGTGCTGAGCTCTGCGGCCGACCCCGCCGCTCCCTGGGGTCAGGCTGATCCCTACAGCAAAGGCAGGACAGGTCTCCCATAGGCCCAATGTGGACACATTGCCATGCACACACACACACACACACCCCCCCCCATTCACACGCCCTCAAGCCTCTGGCTTGCTCTGTAACATCAACCTGACATTTATTTACAGCTTACTCTGAGAAATCTGTGCAATTTCAGCCAATCAAGCTCCCAACAAACCCTACATATGGCATCTTCAGTCTCTGCTTCACATTTTAACGTTGAATGTCTTTTTCAACCAACAAAACTGATGAGAAAAAGGTAGCAGCATTTATGAAAGGATGAAGGTTTATAACAACAATTAAAAAAAAAAAATAAAGGTACCATTATCCCATTTCGGAGCATTAATGTAGGGACTGACAGAGAAGCTAGTGTTTGGATAGACCATGCCACAAAACGGTAGTCACCTTTCTGTGCGCGTGTTGGATCTGGAAAGGAAAGAGCACCTGAAACATGAACAGTCCTCGTAAGCGTGTGCGCTTTTTGCTCTCATTCATGATCCCGGCAGAAGTGCGAAACTTGGGTTTTCTCTTCTCTTTTTTTCCTCTCTTATTTTTTTAAATATTTTTTTTTTCCTTTTTAAATTTTTTTTTTCTTCCTTTTTTTTTTTTTCCTCCTGTTTTTTGGCAAAGTGCAACCACACCTGGTTACCACAGTTCTGACATGGCCGAAGGTGCAAGTGTGACGAGAAACCTTGCGCTCAGTTCAGGGTTCCCCTGCAGTTCTCAGAGCCACAGAGACACGGGATCTTTACATCCTCGATGGGAAACTTGTAGTCATAGGTAATTTCCTCATTCACATTGATGTGCTGCTTGGAGTAGATGACGATCTTCTTCTGAGACTCCACCGTGATCACTTTAGCGTAACAATTTGGCTGCAGGGGAGACAGAACAGGTCACGCTTTAGGCTTTAGACACTAGAAGGAGACTGTTAGTACAGAACAACGACGCTAAAACTCGGTTTGTTTTACGGAAGTATTTGTTGGATGCGCTTGAACAGCGTCTGTTAAGGGCCCTCAACGTGGTCAGGAGGACTCTGAGTGCACTCTTGTCTCGCTGCATGTTTCACTTCTCAGGTCTCTCCAATCTATGCTGGATTAGATTCTGCTTTGATCCACTGCAGCTCATGAACATTTAATCACAAGCCTGTGACCCCCTGCTACTTCTGAACACGGCCTCAATCAAAGCCAGCGAGGACTCAGCGGGTTTATCAGTGCACAATTACATGAACAACCCAGGATACTTACATTGCAGCTGTGATTAATAAACCTGGCGAAGTTTCCGCATTTCGTGGCATCGATGATGGTGTCGTGATCGACTCTGAACATGTAACTGCTCCCGATGCCTTCATCCTCGTATCGCTTCTCACGCATGTCGGCAATGACCTGCAGAAAAGCCCAGGTGCCGCGTCAGGACGCGTCGCAGAAGTGATCTGTGAGCAGAGATCTACACAACTCGCACCGGCGCCGTGCTTGTGCCACCCAACAGGTGCATGACCCCAGACCCCCCACGAGAACACAGACTTCACTGGAAACACAGGAGGTCAGGATGGGCCTCTCGAGACCTCATCTCCTAAGGATGCGAGTGCTGTGTTTCTATGGGTAATTGAAACTCCCACCCGTGACCTCCAACCCCTGCCCAGCTCACACAGCTACTGCCTGGCAGCAGGGACTCCAACCCCACTTCTTCCAGGGCTGGTTCTTGCTCAGGTGTCCCCCGCAGCCCCACTTACCTGCCTGATGTTCTGACCCACGTACTCAATCACCATCTCATCGGCTGCAATGGGCTCCATAGCGAAAAGGCCCCAGTCGTGAATGTGGCTCTTGCAGAATTTTAGTTTTTTCTTCCGGAACTGCAGTAAGAAAACACCCCAAAACCCCAACCCTGAATTAGGCACAGCATGGAAAGGGAAAGGCTGTCTCTGCATCCAGCATCCACAGCACGCTCCAAGTCATGAGCAGCGCTGGGGTCCTTCAACCCTGGTTAGTTTCGTTCTGTCCTGCAGACGTTGTATTAAGTTGTGGTGTCTTATCAAGTTGAATTATGTGGAAGTACAGGAGGGCCAAGTACCATTCAAACCTCTTCTGGGACTGATGGCCAACCCCAGGGTGAGACCCAATGGGCAGGAGGTGCCCTGCCCTCGCCCCAGCCCCTGCGCAAAGCAGCAGCCCAGGGGGTGACCCACCTTGAGCTGGTTGAACTTGAGCAGGTCGCTGTCGCAGCTACCAGTGAAGGATGAGAGGAGCCTGCGCTGCTCCGACCGCCTCTCGGAGCCAGCCCGCGTGGAAGCGTGAGGTTGGGCAGGGATGCTCATACCCTGCGAGGACAAAAGGGTGATCAAAGCTGACCCTACGGACATAACACCCCACAACCTCCCTTGTGCTCCAACACATCACAGCCTGCTAAAACATCCCACGTCAAACACTAACACCTCCTTCGCAGCTCCTGGATGGACAACTCACAGGCATCCCAACAGCTTCACCTCCCTCCTTGCCAAAAGGCAGGAAGCAGCAGCCGTATGTGACGCTGCATAAAGGCAAATCCCGTTCGCACCCACGTGTCTCACCTGCGTGTCTGCTGGAGGCTCCTCTGCAAAAGCCCGGCTGTTGTTGAGGTATTTAAGTTTGTCCTTCTTATCAATTTTGTAATAGCCTTCACTTCGTGCGCAGCCCGTCACGTGCTCCCGCATCCCATCGTCCCGCTTCTTTTTCTTGGGGGTAGAAAAGCTAGTAGGTGGACAGGAGTTAAGGAGAAACACAGCCACCGATGGAGAGCAGGCAACACTTGCTACAGCTGCATGGAGCTGACACCAAGAGCTGGAAAACTACAAAGGTTTTGGGAAGGTTGCTGAAAAATAACAATACTATTGAAACATAAAGAAACATCGCTGAAGCCCACGTGCCTACAGGAAATTCAAGCACAGTCTTTCTTAGCTGTGTGCTTTGGGAAACTAAAGAGATAATGACAATTTAAACAGAAAGAGGTTACGCTGTCAAGTGAAAACTGTTTGAGAAGGGATTTCCCCACAGCACCCACTGTGCACGCAGACAGCAGCTGCCCGGCCATCTGGATGCACCGTTTGTGCTGGTTTTGAGTGATGTGCTTTTGTTCTGCCTCCAGAAACCCCCTGCAGCCACCCCAAGAGCTGAAGACACCTCCCTGATCCCCCAGCAGCAATCACCACACTGATGGGGGCCAGAAACAGCACGGATGGGCGAGAGATGCTCCTCAGCCCAAAGAGCTTGGAGGGAGATGCTGCTCTTGGTAAATCAGCTCCTTCAGACCCCAATGCGAAGGATAAGACCCGGTGCAGATGTCTCTAACCCCACTGTCCCCATCAGCCAAGAAAACCCATGGCTGGCCTGGCACCAAGCAGGCAGGAGGCACCTCTAGGTCTCTGGGACAGTGGAGCTGAACTACTGGCAGCTCGCCCCAAAAACACAGCCATGAGGCCTACGACGACCGAGATCTTCCCCAGAGCACTCTCTGTGAGCCGTAACACATCCTTATCACCAGAAAACTGAAGCAGAGGGACCAGAAAAAGCAAGAAGCGATGGCCTTGCGATCAGAGCTGCGGTGTGCGCTTGCTGCAAAGCGGGTGAGCCCTGCAGGTACCCCAACATCTGCCGTGCACGGGATGAACCAGCGCCTGGCCACAGAATATTTTGAAATGGTTTAAAAATGACTGCAAATTTGCTGTTACGATAATCCTTATCAACAGGGAAACATCACAAATATTTCCACTATGCAAGCTGCCAAACGCAAACACATTTAAGCGCACGGCACAGGCGAGCCCTACCCTGACCGTCCCCTCCTGCCTTTCGCTGGCTGTGGTCCCCCACCACTGCGGGGCCGATAACTCCCACCTCGAAACTGGTTTGTTCTGGGAACTGCTTCCCTAAACAGGGCAGACACCAACTGAGAATTACTGGGGTGAGGCATTTCACCACCCTTTTAGATTATTCCATTTAAACAATTAAACAAACCTATTTCCAGACTGGTGCGTGGAATGAAAAGGCAGAAAATGATCAACTTGCCCTTTGAGATGCAGGGAAAGAAAGAATAAAACCGCACAGCTCAGCACTGAGCTCCGCTTGCTTTTTCTTAGTATCACTGAGTATTTTGGGCTTTTTTGCTTTTGCTTTTGCATCTTGCAGGGAGTAAGGGATGAAATATTTTAACTCCACACCATCTCTAGCAGCATGCGAGGTGGTGCACTTGTCTTCTTTACCATATAGATCTGCATACCCTTCCTAAAAACACTACTGGAGAGGTTTTGGGTTGTGAGCACAGCCCTTTTAGGCTCTGTTCTGGAGATCACCACTGCTGGCTGCACACATGGCAAAGCCTTGTTCTGAGACAGCTTCTGCATCCCAGAAATGCTCCCAAAGGTTCAAAGCTGCAGCCTACGCTGCTGATCACCGGGTGATGGGCAGGGGAGCGGGGATGGGGCCATGGTGCTCCAGCAGCACCAGCCATTGCCACATGGGCTGCAGCACTCGCAGTGCGTTCCCCGTCCAGCCCGGGGTCACGTCTATCCCCGATGCACTGCTCAGAAATCATCGCTTTTATTAGGGTTGCAAACTCACAGCGAGTTAGAACTGCTAGCACCACTAACTCATCACTTTGGGCACAGACGGCGAGATGACTTTTACAGCAAGTTTTAGCCCCAAGTTACAGCCCTGAGTGTGCAGACCAGAAATTCCACTGGCAAGCTGGGAAAAGAAGCCTGGGTTCAAGGCAGACAGACGCTTCCCAAACTAGCAGGGAAATCTCCACAGAAGAGGCACATACAGATTTTCCCTGCAGTCTCAGATTGAAACTGCAGCAAGAACAGCCACTTCTGCAGTATTTTTGTATTGCAGCTTCAGGGAATAAAACAGCCTAAAATTCCCTGCTGATCTCAGCGATTGCTATTCTAGGAAGCAAACGCTTCTTCACCCAACTCAGTCTCTTGCACTGAAGTCCTACACAAGGACCATCGAGCGCATCCCGCACGTGCTGAGGAACACGAGAAAGGATATAAGGATGGAATACCCAGAGGGTGTCGTTGAGCCAGTCCATACCGTTGTCTTGCTGCAGCAAGCGGTCATACGTGATACACATGAACTTGATGTCTTCCTCGTCTATGCCTCCATTCCAAATATCGTACAAAATAGTCATTTCCTCAAACTCGGAGCGTGGCCTGAACTGAGGCCGGGGTGGGGAATACTCAGGGGAGGGAATCGTGGGGAGGTCCTCAGAAGTCTTCTTCTGCCTTCGCCACTGTCTCTTCGGCTTGGCGTGAGCTTCTTCTTCCTTGAAGTCTTCGTTCCACTGGTTCTCTAGTTCCTTAAACGGCAGTTTCTCTGAAACTGTCTCAGCTCCTATTTTCTCGGGGAAACCGTCATTATTCCTGAAGTCCAGGGTGACGGCTTCAGGGTCTTTCGGTCCATAGAAAGCATCGGGATGTGCACTCAAGAGCTCTTTGCCCACAGCACTGTCCACCAAGGTCACCGGCACAGGAGGAGGCTCCATGGCTTTGCCCGAGTACATATCCAAGGAGAGGACAGAAGGTGGCGACCGTCTTGGCCGACCTGGCCTTCTTTTGGGAAGAGCAGAAGGTGGCGGGGGAGGAAGGACAGAAGCACCAGGGGGTACTTCTGGTGAGAGCAAACCAGGTTTAATTTCTGCCTTGCATTCCTCGACGGGCATTCTTCCATCTCCACGCATGCACGGCAGGGCTGCTACGGGTACTGGCTCATCAGGTGGCAAACCCATGTCCGTGTGGAAATCTGCCTGCGGGGGGCTGGCAAAGGGGATGGGGGAAGGAACGCTGTTCATGCCGATTGTAAGGGAAGCACCGAGAGGCTCTTTGAAGGGTTTCTCGTCCAGCTCATCCTCTGATGGTTTCTTGCCAGACAGAAGGCAAGGAATGGTAGCACCAGCCTCTGGGAAAGTAGGCGTGAAACTGAAATCTCTCCCCGGAGTCCGAGGAATGCCACTGTTAATGCCGGGAGATTGGGATGGGTAGGAAAAGGGGCTCCCTGGGACCTGAGGGGAACTGAGGGTCAAGCTGCTTCCCGTAAGTGGAGCATCGCTGCCTGGCGTGGCCGGGACAGTGTCCGTGCTCTGAGACTTCGCAAGGGGGTGTGAAGACTTGGCCAAAATGTCCCGCCCAGGAGTCCTAGGAATCTCCTCTTCCACGGACGTTTTGGTCACCATTAACTGTTCAGGGAACTTTTCTGGAGGGACTGAGGATTCCTCTTTACCAGAAGTCGAGGGTAAGGGAAGCACGGCAGATGGCACCTTGTGGGCTGGAAGCAGAAGAGCATCAGTCTCCGGATGGATCATCACCTCTCGCCCTGGTGTACGAGGCAGCCGCTCGTCCTCCTCGGCAGCCGAGGGCAGCTTTGCTCTAACGCGAGCTTCCACGCTGCCGTCGTCAGCCTTGCTGAAGAAGCTGCTTTTGCTGGGCAGAGGCTCTCCGAAAACTCCCGCTGGAGCAGAGAGACATAGCACCGCTGCTGCCGCCTCCTCGTCTTGAGAGTCAGGCTTCGGACCTTCCTGCACCTCTGGCTCCAGCATGGCAGTGGGTTCGGACTCTTCCTCTGCAAGGGGAAAAGAGAGGAGAGTCAGGAGCTTTGCTTCCCCTCGGTTACTCGCCAGCAAAGGCACGTTTAAGATGCCGCAATTACAGAACAGCTCAATCCCACTGGGACGCTTTAAAAACTTCAATGCTTTACATTTTGGAGGCACGGAGTGTGGAGTAATTAGACGCTACCACAGACATCTCTAATGGACCATTAAAAAAACGCACTATTAATTTGAGGATTAGCTACAACACAGGCCAGAACGATGGTTTTCTGCTTTGAAAACCCCTGACCACCTTTTGCACAGACATCAAAAGAATCAGCGGATTGCAGGGCGAGGACTTTGCAGGAGCGCTGACAGAGCCCCAAGCTATCAGAGTGTCTAATGTGGGAAGGTAAAACTAATTGCAAGGCCAAGCAGCACCCTCAGCTCTCCGAAGAGCATAACACTCCCGAACAACTCATGAAGGAAACACAAAGCCCTTGCAATGAGTGAGGAGACACTTGGATGGTATCAATGAGGCAGTTTATACGCTGCTCTCTCTGCAGCAGGCTCATTTGTCTGCAGTTTATTTACCCACTTAGGGCCAGGGCCATAAGGAATAAACAGTGAATCTTGTTAGGTAGCTCCAAATAAATATTTTCAAGTGGGAGAGCCAAAAACAGGTGAAAATGCCTGGGGAGTTGGAAGGGAAAACTTCCCCATTTGTGCTGAACAAAACAGAGTCGCTGGAGAAGGCTCTGATCCCAGTAACTCCTGTAAACCAGGCTGGGCAGCACAGGAATGCTGCAGCTTCAGCTTGTTCCCACAGCCTGGCTGGAAAGCTCATTCCGCAGTGTGCCCAAATGCAGGCATCCCCAGATTTACATCCTTTCTGGACACTGATCTGTTTAGAAAGGATCCGTGCCAAACGGGTTCTCTGCCCTGCCCAGTTTAACGTTTTGTCTGCTGACAGTTCTCAGATTTGTGACAGCCCCTGCAGGGACTGCATTTCCAGGTGGTAAAATACCGCCCGGTCCTCAGACGCCAGCCCTGCCCGTGCCTCGCACCGCAGGCCACACTGGAGGTGCTTTAACTTTTTAATTCTCTCCTAGCTGCAGAATTTGTCAACCTTTATGCATCCCACTCCTGTTTTAGTAAAAGGTTCCTAAGTCCTTTGGCTTAAATACAGCTCTGCGATAAATGAAGAAAATTTCTGTCTCCAGAAAACCAGGGAGTATCACTCATTTGAAATGACCAAGTAAGAAAAAAAAAAACCAAAAATCCCACAAATAATAATATCAGGAACCAGATGTAATTCTGGGACTTCACTCACATGCCCCATATAGCTACCCAGACACATACTGCTTTGGTATTAAAACCAAAAAGGGCCAGGAGTGACTCAGTAAGCACAGAACCTGTTCTGTTTTAGCAGCCATGGCTTTTCTATCTTGAGCTTCAGCTACCACACCATCCAGTCAGTCACCCTCAGACGATGACAACTGTTCAGTTCCTGCACAACACTAATTAAACTGTCCCGGGATAAGACTCTGGATACAATAACCAGGGTATTTTTAGCAGCAGAGGGTTTGTGTAGAGCTCCTTACTAGGAAGGAAGCTCAGCACAGAGCTCTCTAGACAGATAACTCCTAGCCTAGAGCCAGGACTGGAGGAAGAAAGAGAACAAGGGAAATACAAAGCCATACATATTGGATGCTGTGAGAATACTGCACTTGGAAATGTGGTAAAAAATGCCAAACCACATGGAAGGACATACCTGGCCTACAGATGGGAGACAGAGCAAGTTTTGTCTCCTGGTCTCTTTCCATAACCAAGTGTTTCAGTGTTTCAGCAGCAATAGACGCCTCTGGGACTTCACCACATTCACCTTCCCCTGTCTTGATTTCTTCCATGCCTTCATCTTTCACTGCCAACGCTGGCTCTGCGAGCCCCAGGCCTGTTGCATCCATGTAGTCATCCACAGGGTAGAGCTCCAAAATAGTCTCCCTCTCATCATCGGGAATCTCAGGACCAGAAGGTTCAAGCTCTGTCTCAGCAACCATGGCTTCTCTGTCTTGATCTTCAGCCACCTCCTCCTCCTCTTCCTCCTCCTCCTCTTCATCATCATCATCATCCTCATCTTCATCATCTGAGTCTGAACTCGACTCATATTCAGAAGAGTCCTCACTTTCATCGGATGATTCAACTTCAGCCTTGGAAGACGAGGGACTTGCAACATCTACAAGAAGAACAAATCGCCATTAGTTCTGCTTTCTGACCTCATTAAGAAACCGGGGTCTGCTACAGGCAGCCCAGAGGGTTGTGGAGTCTCCTTCTCTGGAGACATTCAAGACCCATCTGGATGTGTTCTTGTGTGGCCTGGTCTGGGTGATCCTCCTCTGGCAGGGGGGTTGGACTGGGTGAGCTTTTGAGGTCCCTTCCAACTCCTCATATTCTGTGATTCTCTAACAGGAGCAAATACCACTTCCACACTGCAATAGCATGGAAACAGCTTCAACAGCAGCGTGTGGGCTCAAAGGAGTCACCTTCCAATTTATTTATTTTTGCAGACTTACAATCCATGTATTTGGCTGCTTACAACAATCACCATGCGATAGGCAGTCCCCCCAGCAGCAGAGCCAGCGCTGCCTGGCACCCTGCCCACTGGCTCGCTTGGTGGATTGCCTCTTGACTCAAGTTGTGTTAACATTTTCTGTTTGAAATGTGGTTCCACACACGTTTCATAAAACAAGCACAAACCGAGCTGGCTTTAAGTGCTCTGCCTCTCTGTTGAGTTGGGCTGAGATCACTCAGGGGCTGGAGAGCAGTTGCAAAGGGACCACACACAGAGGGACTGTGGAAGCCTTGCAGGTAATAAAAATACCAGTACATATTGCCTTGTATAAAACCACCCTTCAGTGAAATAAGGTGCACAGATGAAATTTTTAAAAAATAATCTCACAAGTGTAGAAGGGACACCACAGCTGACAAAGGCTATGCTTGCTGCTTCTGTCTGAACTGCTTACCCTCCTCGGAGTCCTGCTCCTCCTCCTTGTCACTTGTGTCTATGCCTGTCTCCTCTTCCTCATCATCTTCATCCTCGTCTTCATCCTCATCCTCATCTTCCTCCTCATCGTCTTCATCCTCATCCTCATCTTCCTCTTCCTCCTTCGCAAGAAAGCATTGCCAAAATTCAACAGTGTCAGACTCCAAAACCTGGCTGTCCCTGCAGTAACCACCAGGAACACTGCTCAGAGAGTCTTACAGAGGTTCATTGGGACAGACCCTACAGGAGCACTCATCTTCTAGGGAAGGTAACTTTGGCATCTGGAATTTCTACGTCCCTTTTTCATGACCGACAGCATTCAAAATTGCAATAACAAACCAACACACCTTGCCAGGTGTTGCTTTCACCAAACTCCTCTCTTCTTCCTGCTCCTCTTCCTTCTCCGAGGAGGACTCTTCCTCTTTCTCTGATGTCTCATCTCCCTCTTCCCCCTCGCTGTCGAGCTCCAGCGGCCTTGCTGGTCGCCGCCTCAGCCCCACTGCTTCTGCATCTTTCTTTGACAGCTCAGACGTTGTATCGGAAGCATCTCTGTCCCTCTCCGACTCTGGTGAGCAAAACCAAGAAGGAAATTGCCATCAAATACATTGCAAGGGAAGGAAAAGAGTTGACCACAGAGCAGAAACATGTTCTTTAGGAAGATCAAAGTTAGGAGCAATGCATCCATGCAGTGTGTGAGTCCCCTGGCTCACAGGGGCTTTCTAATTTCACAGGACAAGTGAGGGCAAGAATGGGTGCAGGGTGTTGAAATGCAAGGGACGGCAAAATGCAGACAGCCAAAGTGACAGGGAGAGCAGCTAGGAGACAGGGCATGACTGAGATCAGAGCAGGTAAACTGAATCTAATGCCTTTTTGTTTTATTTAAGGGCTTTACAAAACCCTGCTTCTGTACTTTGGCTTCAAAACCATTTGTTAGTCTGAACCAACTTTATGGCACAACTAACTTGAATCCACTTTTTTATGCAAAACAAAGGGTATTCAAAGCTTTGCCTTATCTCTGCTATTCCCTGCTTCCAGGAAAAAAAAAAAGATAAAATATTTTCAACTCTATTTTTCTGGCAAATAACTTTGTTTTGTTTTTCAAATCAAATGCAGGGCAAACTGTGTTTTCTGTGCTTTCTCCCACAACGCACCCAGTGAATGGCAAACACGCTCCCAGGCCAGTCCATGAACCCATCTGAGCTCCCTCTACTGGGTGACCAGCTCTGCATCAGCAGAGCTAAAACAGGTTATGAGCTATTCATAAAATGCGTGTCTTAAATTTCCCCCCAGTGACTTTAAGATAAGTGAATCCAGAGGAGACATGTTCCAGCTGATAGGTTTTGTGAGAAGCAGGGTTGTGGCTCAGATCCTTGACTCTGTGTCTAACTGTAAGTGAGCACACTGCTGGGAGGTTTAAGAGATTTCAGCCTGCATGCCGCTTGCATCTGCTCTTGTGTTTCAAACAAATGTGCTTTGCAAACCTTCATCTTCATCATCCACAGAAGTAGAAGGCCGGATTCTCTTCTGATCTCCTGCTGAGGCAGCTTCAGGTGGCTCCTTTCTTTTCACCTGAACAAAAGACACCATTAGCATTTCTAAAAGTTAGAAACAGCAGAAATCAACTTCTTAAGCAAATTGCTACTGCTTTACTTTGCCATGGTGACTTACACCCAGAAACCCAGGGCCACTTCCCCAGCCCTTGATCCCTTTCTTTGCTTGCAAACAGAACTTCACTGTGAACAAAATTCTACCCCTTGGATTTGCATCAAAACACCCCGCTACCAGCATGGTGCATGTCCTCACCGGGTACTTTGAAGCTGACAGAGAAAACTCTCGACAGATGCATGTGCCTGAGATGTAGCAGAACAGAAAGGGAGTCTGAGCCTATGACATCTTTAAGAGCCTCAAAGCAAGTTTTATTCTATATGAAGACTGCAGAATTTCTCATCTCAAACCTTTATTTGTATGTTCTGCACATTCAAACCCCTAATTTCAGGGAAGCCCTCTACCCTCTAACGGAGCTTACAGTCTGTAGAGCTTTGGGGCATGAACCTAGAGAGGTCTGTCCTCCTAAGGCTTCTTTGGGGAACGTTACCATAACGAAGACAGATCTTTGCTTTTACCTTGAAGGACGGCAAGCGGATGGCTCCTCGTAACCCAATGCCCAAGCCGATCCCCTCATAGCCCAGGCCTTCTCCTTTGTTCCAGTTCTCCAAAAGACAAGATGCAATCCGATCCTTCGGCTTTGGCTTTTCCTCCAGCTCTCCTCCAGACTTCACTGGAGTGAGAGACGCCTGCAACAGAGAAAGCACGCTTGGGAGGGAGAGTTTCCTGGGGAGCACACCAAACCTGGAGCTAATTCAGACACTTGAGGTTTGTGAAACGTCGCTGCCTTGCCCAGGCATCAGTTTCTCTGACGGCAAAGGCACCTGAAGATGCACCACACACACTTGAAAGAGAGAAGGTGCAGCAGCTCTTGATAATGAGACCTTTCTGTCTCCGAGAAGCTGTCTACCCTTTGGATTTTAAGAAGTTGTTTTCTCTGCACAGGGCACTCGACCAGCTGGGACTCCCAGAGCAGCAGCTTGGCACAGGACACCAAGCAATGCTGCATTTGGAGCCATCACGCTGTAAGGCCTTCTTCCCCGAGTGTTTTAAAACATGATCTCAGTTTCCTTCATGAGCAGCTTTAACACAAGCCAAAGCACTTCACAAGGGGGACAAGGGAAATAAACAGACCTATCAGCTCCCATAGCTCATTTCTGGTCCTTCCAGTGCCTAGCAAGGCGACCACAGCGACCACCTCCAGACCAGTCAGAACCCATCACAGATGAAGCAAAGGTCATAAAAGGGAGAGAGAAAAGGGTAAGAAAAGGCTCAGACATGAACCCAAGACTCCAGAGCCCAAGGGAACACATTCCTCCACCCCAATGGAGCTACCGAGTGCCAAGGAGCAGCTCCTGTACAAGGGCCCTGAGCTCTGAAGGGAAGTTACAGAGCTGCAATAACCACCACCTCAAACACCACTGCTCCTCAGCGCTGCAGGAGCCATCTGCTCCGCTCACAGCTATGCAAGAAATAAAGCTACATCCATGCCTCTTACAAACAACTCAAGCATGCTTTAGGCAAGTTAACGCTGTGTTATCTACCTTCATGTGCTAACCCACATAACCAAAAGCAACTTCACACCTTCCAGTGGGGAAGACCTTTCTTCTTTCTAGCGTGAGGCAGTGTATAGCGAGTCAAAAATCACATACCCCCCTGTGCTCACTCAGCAACCACAGCCCAAGTCCCCAAAACCATCAGAAAGCTCCAGTCCTGGGAAACAGGAAAAATCAAAGCATTTAAGTGAAACACCTAAGGGTCTACACAATTTGGTAATGAAACACACGGCTCAGCCACAGCAAACCCCTTTGCACCAGAGCAGGAATTCAAACCTCCGCAGTCCTGGAGAGGCAGATGAGCCCAGGAGAGCATCAAACGCAGTGGCACAGCCCAGGCACATCAGCCAGAGCACGACGCTGACTGAAAGCCATTAACAGAGCTGATCTGCTGAAGTGGGCTGTAATCACCGTAGAGGAAGCGTACGCTCTGCTCTCCCGCTAACCAGGGACAACACTAATGGGAACATCAAGCAGAGGATCCGGGCAGCAGCGCTCATGGCCAGGGATGCCTGGTTACTCCTGGCACTCTGCTTAACGCACCTTGCTCAGGCTTTCAACCCTAACCCCATCACCAGATTTGGGAACAGGGAAAAGCTTTCCCCAGTTGAAGCAGACGAGGTCCATGGTACGTGCTGCCTGCCCTACCAACGTGCTCTCAGCAGCTTTCACACCATGGTTTCCATCCTGTCTGACCGAGGACACCAGCTTCACCCTTGAGCTTTCCCACCCTTCACCCATGGCACGATATGCTCAGGCACTCAATCCGCTACTCAAGTCGATTCCTTGGCCAAAAAACACAGAGAAAAGAGAGAAACTGAGGCACAGGAGAGGTGACAAGTGTGTGTCGCTGAAGGCTCAGGGGCTGCCAGCAGCACTGTGTAGATAACATTTGCTGTCCTACTAAACTTGAGCATTGTCAGGCAGTCAGGGGAAGAAGGAAACCCACAAGGTTCCTGTTCTGACGTGGGGGAGGTCAGGGACGTAGCGGCCCACAAAGCCTCTGAGCGAGGAGGGACACAGCTGCTGCAGGAACCGGCATACGGTGGAGCTCTGCTCTCCCCTGTGAAGCACCAGGAGGTGCTGCAGCTGATGGGCCAAGGACAGGAGATATTAAATGGCATCAGCACTCCCTACGCATCTGCCTCGTTTATTTCTAGAGAAAAAATACATAAACAAGCACATATGCTGTCTTATTTCTACTTCCAAACCTCTGAAAATAATATAATTTCTTTCACTACTGTCAATCCGTAAGGAAAAATGTGAGAAGGTCCAATTAAAACCGTTAGAGGGAGGAGATGGGGATGCAGGGTTTATTTCAGAGGGTCCTTTCAGCTCAAACAGTGCCTGGAGGTCTCGGTGTGTTCTAGAAAAACCAGTGTGATAGGGGAACCAACCTGCAGCTCCCACCAAGGTGCCCACACAGCACATCCTCACGCGTGCATAAAGACACCAGCAATGGAAAGGCACAGTTTAAGCTGAATGCTCATACTTAAACGCAGGCAGCTCATGACTGAGGAGGAATCCTGTCCTGCACCAGCATCAGGGGTGCCCAGTCCCAGAAAGGAGCCTCAAATCTTTTCTGCGTGCGACCATCACAGGGCCCAGCAGACGCTTCCTCAGGCGGGGCCCTGGAGCAGCGATGGCACTGGCATTTCTGTTCCTGGACAGACAGCACAGCTGCTATTCCACGCAGCAATTTTGTATTTTTGGTTACGCTGCTCACACCCAACACGACCCGTGGCAAGGACTGCGGTACAGCCCGCTTCCCTTCCCAAAGTGGTTGTGAATTCTGGCTGAGGGAGGAGCAAGCTAAACCCAACCACAGCTCAGGAGGTGAAAGAGCCTGACGGCTGCTTAGGCCTGCCCCAACCTGCGTCTGCTTCTTCTCTGGGGACATTTGGTTTAAACCCATTTCTTGGGTACTGCAGTGGCTGCTTTCGCAGCAGTTTGCTGGATTGGTTTCCCTCCTTGCCCTGGAAACTCAGGGGCCTCCAGGGTTGTCAGTACACTTTAAATTGACTGAGAAAGGATCAGACGATTGGTGCAAAGCTGTTTTCTTAACTAATCCCTGGAACTCCTTGTGTATTTGGCCAAGGTTCAGCTTTTGGGTTAACTGCTGATGTGTACATGCACCGGGGAGGTGAGAGGAGAACAGAGAAATACCCACAGATCTCACCACACCAAGTGGGAAACACAAACCAGCGGCTTGGTGGTTTCTAACACTCCTGCTGCAGCTGACTGGAGTTTTTGGAGCTCAAGTTCAGCCAACTTGTAGACGTGAGAATCCCTGGCACATTTGTCCCCTGATCTCAGGGTCATTTCCTTCTGCAAACCCCTTCCTGGAGGCAGCCAGCAGTGCCCCAGACCACATTATCAATATTATTATTATTATTATCGATATTATTATTAATAATAATAAACCATAACAACAACAATAATACATCAACTAAACTTGTCAAATTTCAGGCTCTGGAAATACTGCACTGAGGGGAAAAAGGCAAAGCAGATGAGGAGAAGGGAAGGCCTTCCTGCAAGGGGCAGAGTGGAGAGGACTCTCCCATGCACATGTCCCTGTCTGTAAGAGCAGATAACCTCGTCCTGTGACGACTGCTCAGTGGACTTCAGCTTTAACAGGGGCATGAAAGCCCTCTTCATCCCCACCAGAAAAAGTCACGCAGACCACCAGCGCTATCAACAGCTCTCCCCGGGACGTATTTCACAGAGCCTACCTTTGCCAGACGTTCCTTCTTGTCCCACCAGTCATCGAATGCGCGAAATGCCACCACTTCAACCATCTTCCGGTTCAGGTCCCTTTTCATGATAGCCTTCAGTTCCTTCACGATGACCAGGAGGACTCCATCCACCGTGGCCTTGTGGGGATCTTCCTTCTTCGGCTCGTAGCCTGGCGGTGGCACCGAGGGGTCAAACTTGGGCAGGGGTGGCCACTGCTGTCCACGGCCAAGGGCTGACCCCATGGAGAAAGGGCGGTAGGGTGGAAGGTTCACGAACTGCATCCGTCCCGTCATGAACGGCGGGTACTGGTACGTGTTCTGTGCCTGCATCATGCGGCTCAGCATCTGGGTTTGCATCTGGAAGGACATTGGCATGCCACCCCACTGGTTGCCCAATACACTTATCATATCCACTTGCATGACAGGGAACATGCCGGGGTGGAACGGAGGAAGCGGAGGCAAGATGTGAGGCGGAGGGACCCCCGGGGGTGCCGGGAGCGGAGGCGGGGGGACGGTGACGG